GCCTCCCTCCCTGACCACGCCCTTGTCAGGGGCTGTCCCTTTCCCAGAAGCACTGGGACTCCGCATCCCTCACTCCCCAGCATCGCTGGAGGATGAGTGCCCGGGCCCCAAAGCCAAGCCCACCCGGAGGACATGGCACGTACCAAGCACAATGAGCTGCACGCTGACCTCCCCGTAGGTGTTGCCACCTTCATCGGAGACCATACAGGTGTACATGCCAGTGTCTCCCCGGGTCACAGAGTGGAAGGTGATGCCAGTGTTCGAGAAGGTGACGCGGTCCTCGTAGGAAGCTACGGGAGCGAGAGGGCGGAGCAGAGTGAGCCCGAGAGCGGAGAGGGCGGGTGATGGGGGCACCGGGGCCCTGTGCGTCCCAGGGAAGGGCAGCGAGAAGTCCTCGGGGCCCTGAGTGCCGGGGCGCCCCCTCCCCCGGGATCCGGGATGATGCCACCCCCCACAACCTAGGCGGCGGAGGGGGGCGGAGGGACTCGCCCGTGATCTTGTTGTTGTAGCACACGAGGCTGGTGGTGTCTCCGTGGGCAAACTTCCACTCCACCCGCGGGGACCCGAAGCCGGAGTAGGAGCACAGCAACTTGGCGGCTGCGGGAGAGAAGCGGCGACAGACCCGCGGTCGGGGAGTGGGCGGACGTCCTGCAGGTCACCAGGGCTCTGCCCCGGCTTACCCTCCCCCCTCCTCCCAACTCACGTTTATTCTCGGCAACTCTGACTTCAGGCTCAGAAGTGTACACTGCGCCCCTACCCAACGCCAGGGAGCCTGCGGAGGGGGTGGGGGCGTCAGGAGCAGCACTTGAGCAGGGCAGAGGGCTGGGATCCCAAGGTGTGGGGAGTCAGGGATCCAAGCTCCCCGTCCCTCCCCTCTCGCAAATGCCGCAAATGCCCTCTTTAAATGCTGCTTGCTGCAACTGCTACAATACTTCTTTTATCAACAGAAAGAAAATGTTTCTTTCAAATGCAATTTATCTCCTGGTGACTCCCAGGAATCTAACTGGGTTCCCACTAGACTTCTCAAGGCCTGAGCAGGGGGAGGGGGCGGCGGGGAGCGCAGGGGGCGGCGGGCGGGCAGGGGCCGCCGGAGGGAACACAACCCCTGCTCCCGCGGGGGCGGGGTCTGTGCTTTCCGAAGCGTTTCCACCTGCACTGAACCTCTGATCCTGGAAACGAGCAGGACAGGTCAGCAGGAGCAGCATTACTGTCCCAACTTTCGGGGACGGACTGGATGACAAGGAGTCTGAGGGCACACAGCTGGTTCTGAGATGGAGTCGGGACCAGATCATGCCATTAGCATCCCCTCCCACCCAAAGTCCAGGGGAGGAGGAGAGGATGGGCGGGTAGGTGGGGGGGGGGCGTCGGTGGCGGGGTGGGGAGACAGTTGAATTCAATACCATGGAGCCCAAACCTTCCTAAATAAGCACCAGGACACAGGGCAGGGGTGACGGCTCCCACACACCGCTCTCTCATGCTAAAAGCTCACACTCATGAAATGGGCTTTATTTATGGCCTTGGGTCAGAGTCCTGTTTTTCTTAGACAAATGCAAGCACATTTTCCTTTATTTATTAATTACTCACAAACTAAATATGGCCTCTGGACCTCCAGGGCCCCCTTCACTCATGAGGAACATGAAAGGTTTGAACTGGATGCTCTCTAAAGTCTTTTAGGTTCAAGGGTGGGGGGCATTATTGTTTACCTTCATTTATTCTAATTTGACAAACAACACTGTGAATTAGTCTGGGTGACAGTCTCTCCTCCAGTTTACAGATGAGAAAATTAACTGTTTAAAAGGCGAAGTGGCGGCCTGAGTTTACACAGCTAGGAAACAGCAGAGCTGGGATTGCCGAGCGGTTTACTCCCACCCTCCCTTTCCCTCCTCAATATGCCGCACTGTCACACGCCACGCTGCTTCTCAGAACAGCCATTGCTTTAATGGACGCAAGCTATGTCAAAAAATCTTTTTGTCAAAAATCAGGCCCATTTTATCTGTAAATTCTAATATTACCTTTTATCTATATATTCAGCATTACATTTTAATGTCAAATCTATAATCAAGTATAATGACAGATACAGAAATTAAATCAAAGAGCCTTTACTAAACTGAAAATTGAGGACATGGAAGTCTCTCACTCATCAGTTCTCATCAAGAATGCTGATAATGAAATGCTTTGATTGTTGTCCAAGTCAGCTTTCTCTGCTTTAATGACTGGAACTGTGTTTAAGACTCTCAGATTTTACAGTTTGCTACCTGTGATGTGTACTGTGATGCTCGAACCAGAACTCTCTTCAGAAAGAAACCGTTTCTCCCAGCCACTGGGAGGAAGGCCCTGGGTCCTCAGCCCTCTGTGAGAGTGGGCAGAACACTGCCCTGCCCAGGGCTGTGCCCCAGCCAGCACCTCCAGGGCCTCATCGGTGTAGGGGACGGATGTGTAAAGCCCTCCATCGCGGGACTCCCCTGAAGGCCCTTCCTGCCCCAAAGCTCCCCAAGGGGCAAGCAGGCTGAGGCCTCGGGGCACCAGTGCAACCCCGCTGTCCCTCTGCCCAGTCCTATATCCTTCCCCTCCCTTCCATAGGCACTCCTCATAAATGTCTTGGAACAACAACTGATGACTCAGTCAGCTTGCTGAGAACCCAACCTGTGACACCACCCAAATAAAGAACAGCTTCAAATTAAACAGAAACTAGCCTTTGAAACAAAGGGCCACACCGGGAAAAAAAAAATATCATAGCACATGAACGCGATGACTATTTCTGTATTACCTCTGGCTTTAGCTAAAGTCCTTTCCTGAGTCCTCTCAGGTATCAGATCTAAAACACATTCAAGAATTACACCCCCCCACACTCAAACACCAGGGGCTGCAGACACCCTCCTCCTCCTCACGAATTCCGACTGCCACGGCCCAGTCCAGGCTTCCCTTCTCTCGTTTACAATACAGGGCCCTTCACCTCAGTGCCTCCCCCGACCCTGGGGTAGGACCACTGCCGTTGGCCTGAGCCTAAAGGCTGCACGCCACGCGGAGTCACCGCCTCAGGACACCTCAGCCATCCTGGTCCACAGTCTCCTTCTCCGTCCTGAACAAGCTCTGGAACCAGACTGCCTCCATTCAAATCCCATCTCTGTTACTTACTAGGGTGTGGCCCAGGCAAGCCACTTGCTCACTCTGAACCTCAGTTTGCCTGTTTGTAAAATGGGGATAATAAGAGTTTCTACATCAAAAGGCTGTCGTGAGAGTTAAACAAAAGAATGCAAAGTACTTACAACAGTGTCTGACCAACAGGAAGCAGCAAATAACCATTATGTCTTATTTTTTTCACCGTCTGTACACACTTCTTTGTCTGACTTCGATGTTTTCTTCAATATAAATACTGCCTGAAAAATGTTTGCACTCCAGCCCACCAAACCGTCTCTCCTCTACCACTGTAACTGCCTTGGAAAGACTCTTTTCTAGAAACTTCATGGATAGGCCGTCAGAACTGGGGATGTTCCCTCCCCGCACACCTTCTGCATCAGCACACGATGGTCTCCCCGCACGCTGTCCTCATCAAGCCTGTTGTCCCTCACCTCATCTCAGCCCCTAACCTCGACCCTAGACTTGGCGCACTGTCCTACTAATAGACGAATGTCCTGCTGATGCACATGGTGGACCCAAAAAGAAGGAAATTTCATCCTTTCCACTGTGACGTTTAACTTACTCCAAGTTCACAAGAAAAGCTACAAAGTCAAAGGCACGGACAGATTTTCGGCCCTTCCAAGTGCAGAAAACCACCCCTTAACCTTGCAGCCCACTCATCCTGCTCGCCCCCTCCTCCCTCTCTCCACACGCGGGGGAGTCGTCCGCACGCAGTCCCTGGCCAGCTGACCCCTCGGCCTGCTGCGGCACGGCCGGCCCTCGCCTCAGAATTAAAGTTGCTTTTACTAAGGTCACGAATCATATTCCTCATCTCCAATATGCTTAGATTGTAAGATGATGTAACAGCAATTTACTAAGAGCTTCTTGGGGGAGTTTTATATTAAATATATACATAGGCTGTAAATCACACGCCAATTTCCGAAACATTAAAGTCGTCCTAGAATGGAGAGCATCCAGTATTTGCTTTTTCGGTTACCTTCTGTAGCCTTTGTAAGACCGCTGGTCACTCCCCACCTCAGAAGTCACCCGGCCCCCTTGGCTTCTGCGTGCAGCCCTCCTGGTCCTCCACCACTAAGAGTTCCGTCTTAGTCTCCTTGAACTTGGCTTCCTCTGTCTGTCCCTAATACTATGATGGCCAGCATTCCATCCTGGGCCTTTTCTCCTCTCTGTATTCTCTTGGAAAAATCAAATGCAGGCCAGAATTCATGAACGTCCATGCAGCACACGCCCCCGGCACTGCCTCTCGCCTGAGCTGCCACCCCTCTGGCCATGCCTCCCATCACCTCCTGCCTGGTCCACTCCAGGCGGTGGTACCAGCATTTACTCGGTCACTCAGACTAGAAATCAAGCACCACAACCTTCCCTTCACTCCACGATGTCATCTCCCAATCGCCCTCAAAAGGGCTGGGCTGCTCCTCGTCACACCCACTGCCACTTCCGAGTGCCGCCGTCATCTCAAGAATTGTGATTGGTCTCTAACTGGTTTCTTTGCCTTGTTTAACCTCGGACCCGCTGGATAGCACCCTCTACCCACTGCCTGAGGGAGAGTTGAGCTTTGCTGAGCACTTACTACACGCCGGCACTGCGTTGAGCGCCCTGCGAGCACCATCATTCGATCCCTACAGCAGCCTCGGGCTGGGTGAGACTGTCATCACCACCTTCATTCAAGCTCCAGTGGCCGGGCCGAACTGAACGAAACAGTCCCCAACGCGAATCTAATACCTGCCTTGAGCTTTCACTGCCTGTAAGATAAAATCCAAATTCCTCAGTGAGGCAAGAGAATTCGGCAGCACAGACCTCGCGATAGGCTTATCATCTTCATCGCCCTTTCTACTCTTACAATTTACCCTCCGGCAATACGAAACTACATGCTTACAACTCCCAGCAGAGGTCGGCTGTTTCATACCATGCTATTCCTGCCACATGTGACACCCTTTCCCCACGTTCTTCATCTGGCCGGCAGTGACTCATCCACAATGTTTTCCAGGAAATGCCCTACCCTCACCAGAGCCAGGTGAAGGCCTCTGCCCTGGGCTTCCAACACCCGACACAAAACACGGTCGCAGCACGCCCCACGTCAGGACGGCACCATCTGTGCATGTGTGTCTCCCTGCCAGACAGGAAACCCCCAAGGAGCAGGAACCACATGCTACTTATTACTGAGAGCACTCAGCACTAAGCACGAGGCCTGGTGCAAGTCTGCACTCAGCAACACAGAGCCTTAGCCAGTTAGAGCAACGCAGGTCAAGTTAGGGCACCCCAGGTCCTGCACTGCAAGGCGGACTTTAGGGTATGTCTACAAATAAGCCCATTTTTTCAAACTGGCCAATGGGGCATGCCCAAATGAAGAAAAGAACAAAGAGGATTCAAAGCCCAATCTTTAAAAAATTTTAATACTACCAAAGGTGTTTTTTTTTTTTGACTTCAGTACTCAGTAAAAAAAATGAGTGTCCGATTAATCTTTTTTTTAAAGTTAGCTTCATAACTTAAAAATTATATTTTTAAATTTGCTTCATAGTTTTAACACAAATTTAAAGTTCTCTGCGTATGGGCCATTTCCACTTGCCATTCTGCAAAAGGCCTGGGCTGCAGCGTCTGTAGGTGTCTGTGTGACAACAGCAGAGGCTGGACCCC